TATATATATATATATATATATATATATATATATATATATATATATATATATATATATATATATATCAAGAGTACTTGCAGTGTGATATATTGTGTCTGTGTATATGTATGTGTGTGTGTGTGAGAGAGAGAGAGAGAAACATTGAGTTGGTTTTACCTAAAGAAATACATCATCCAACCGCATTTGGGCGTAGGATGACATGTAAGGACAATCATTTTTGCTCTGTCCCATCATGGGCTGCCCCAGCCCAGAGACAAAATTAGTGAGTTTTGTACATGTGGAGGGACAAACAAAACATGTCTGGTACTTACAGGGTCATTTGCATAAATATGTCAGCCTGGGTAGCACTCCGTACGCATACGCACGCTTACGTATTTCGACATATGCGTATGAACCCCAAATCCCGCGTAGGTGTACGTTAAGAAAAAAAAAAAAACAAAAAAAAACGTATGTTATGCAAAATAATGATACAAACAACGTTTGCTTGGGAGTCATGCCCGAATTCCCGACCAAACTTGATTTAAAAAAAAAAAAAAATTGAAGAAAACTTAAAAATAAAAAAAAATAAAAAAAAATAATTTTAAACAGTTTTTAAATTATTATGATAATATTACCTTTTTTTTTAGTTTTTAATTTCTTACTCGAATTTGATCGGGAATTCGGGAATGACTCTCGGGTAAAATTCGTTTGTATCATGTTTTTGCATAACATATATTTATTACAAAAAATTATTTATTTTTTATGTTTTTTTTAGAGTTTTTTTTTTCAATTTATTTATTTTTTGAGTCTTTGATTTTTAACTTGAGTTTGGTATAGAATGTTGTGATAAGTCTCTATAAAAGTTGTTTGGAATATTATTTTGCATAACATAATTTTGTTTTATTGTTTTTTTTATGGTTTTTTTTTTTTTTTACGTATACCCACATACAGGAGTACGTGTATGAGCGTACGTGTCATGTATAGAAATATGTGTACGCATGTACGCGCAACCCATGTACACGTACATCGTGCTACCCAGATGTTAGCTCAGAGAATGAACTTTGTGGATTGTTAAGAGTTACAGCGACAAATAAAAAAATGAGCATGTAAAGGTACGGCGTGTTAAGGCCAAGCATATATATATATATATATATATATATATATTCAGCCTCCTGATGAGTCGGTGAAACTCCGACGAAACAGTTTGTCACAGCCCCTCGTTTGTTGTCCTCTTCCCTCTCTCTGCCTACGGTTTACCGGACAGTTCTATTTCTGACGATATATATATATATATATATATATATATATATATATATATATATATATATAGGGTCACCATTTCGTACGTACTGAGGTCCTCGGGCCGACCTCCGTACGTACGGGCGTTCGGGGTCCTGTACGGGGTCTGAACTCGGCGGCATTCGGCCCCCGCTAAAAATTATTTCGGGGCCTTAAATTTTTTTTTTTTCCTGAATGTTTTTTTGTGAGCTCTCTATGAATTGAGGTACCTGCCTATAAATTTTCAAGTCATTTGGGTCAGCCAAATAGGAATTAAAAATCGCCAAAGATGGCAGTGTCAAAACGTGCTTGCCCACATTTTTTTTTACTTTTTACTTTTTGTTTTCACTTTAGTTCGGGGTCTTAACACTTCTATTATTTTTTGAAACTTTTTTAGTGGGTTTTTCATGAAGTGAAATACACAGCTGTAAATTTTCAGGGCATTTTAGCTATGCCAAAAAAAATAAAAAATTGCCAAAGATGGCAGTGTCGTAAAAGTGGTCGCGCACTCAATAAATTTAATATGTATATTTTTTATTATTATTTTTATTATAAGTATTTTTTCTCTGTATTTTATTTTTATTTTAAATTTGGTAAGGAATTTGAATGTTATGCTCAGGCAAATATTGTTTAATTTATTTTTATTCATAATATATCTTTTTTTCAGAGTTTTTTGAGTTTTTTTTTTTTTTTTTTTTGGGTCTGCGTTTGGTCCGAACGGCCGAACGCATCTCCAAGGGGTCCCATACGTTTGGGTGTTCAGGTTCGGGCATTCGGCCCGTCCCGAACTCCGGTTACCCTGTACATATATATATATTAAATATATATGTATAATATATATATATTAAAAAATTTCGATGTGACCCTGGACACATTACGCAAAAAAAAAAAAAAAAAGTTTTAATAACATAGTTTCTTTTATGTTTTGTTGGATTGTCTTTGAATTTTGTTTTTTTTTTGTCGGGACCTTTCTTGGTCCTTGCACGGACCGACCGCCCGTGAAAACAAGGTGACCCGGGCAGCCCAACTGATAGGTGACTGAGGATTGAGTGTGTATAGTGTGCGATAACTGGTAAACTCTGAGTAGTGTAATGGGACTATGCCGGGTTTTTCTGAGTACGTGCAGCGTGGGTGTGAGTCGAGTATGGCGTTTGAAGTAGGATGCTGGGTTGTTATTTACTTGAAGAAGTAGGGACACGGTAGCAATGAAGCCTTAAATCGTACGCCTAAAAAAACGAGGAGCGAACTCTGAAGTAGAGCGAAGCAGCCTGGGTAGCGTCGAACATGTGACCTCAAAGTTGGGCATAGGGCGAGAACTCGGAATCTTAGGCGATATCCCTGGGGGAATAATAAGTAATGATCCGGAATGTTCGGACGAACCCCCTGAGGCCAGAGCGGGAAAAGTGCTGTAAGGAGATTTTCGGACCAGGTGCGACAACCCCTCGGAGAGTCCAGATATTTACGGACGAGGTCTGCGATTAGGAACTGGGCCCGATTTACCAGGTACGCAGGATAGCAGGAGGAACCGGGTACTATCTCAGAGGGAACTTGGCGAACAGGCAGTGCTTAGGTGTATTAATAGCTTAGTCAGTAGGGAATAGGCATCTCGAATCAACCCCCTGATGAGATCGCTAACTGGCAACGGTCGAAACTAGTCGGGGTTTGCCAGATACTTCGCTCTTCAGATCTACACTCTGTTTTGGCGGCGAGGAGGGAAGCTATGGCGACGGGGAGCTACACTGTTATTTGGTTATTAAGAACCGATTTGAGATTGTTTCTCGCATACTTTGCTGTGATTACCATGGTTATGTGTGATGTGTGGACTCCATTTGTCTGCAGTTTTCTCACTGAGTACCGGCATCGGCAACCGGCCAGGACGCCTTTCACCTGAGCTATGGTGGCCCTGTAGTCTAGCATCTTCCGGAGTACTTTTGAAGCTTTCTGAAGTTTGAAGTCCTTGAGGCCTTAAGTGACACTCAAGACGACGATGACGATTACACATTAAGTTACAGCAGCAACACCTAGGAGCGGCTTTGGGTAGTAGCTGCCGGCACTAGTGGCCGGCTCAATGGCGAATGGCGGGGAATACAATGGAAATTGGAATGGTGGTGGTGGAAATGGAGGTGGAGGGTCGAACAATTGGAATGGAAATGGCGGTGGTGGAAATTGGAATGGGGGTGGAGGACGAGGCGACAACGAAAATGAAGGAGGAGGTTACGGCAACAACGGTGGTGGCCATCGAGGCAATTGGAACAATGGCAGTGTAATTGGAACAACGACGATGGTAATTGGAACGCTAATGGCGACAACGGAGGATGAAATAACAATGGCGGTGGTAATGGAGGGGGAAGTGGTGACTGGAGGAGGTCGACACGTTGCTACAATTGCAACCAATTTGGCCATATCCGCCAGGAATGCAACGCGCCACGTCAGAACCAAGGTGGAGGGAATGGAAACAACCGTGGAGGAGGCGGTAATTGGAACGGCAATAGAGGCAACTGTGGGAATGACAATAACTGGAATGGAAACGGAGGAAACTAGGGAAATGGCGGAGGCGGGAATGGAGGAAACTGGGGTAATGGAAATGGAGGTAACGGAGGAGGTGACCGACAACCGAACGATGCAGCAAGTAGCTCAAATACGCCTGTCGAAGCAATAGCCGCGATTGGGATGAGCAAGGAGTTGGAGGAATCACTAAAGGCGGTCTGCCTATACACGAAGAAACAAATGGAAAAAGAGGAGCGACGTGAAGTAGAGATGAAGGAAGCGGAGGAACAGAAGAAGCGGAGAGAGGAAGAGAGAGCAGCGAGAGAAGAGAAGAATCGATGAGACTTAGAGAAGAAACAAGCGAAAGAAAAGAAGGAGGCAGACAGGGAGTGGAAACTGAAAATGCTTCAGGCGAATCAGAAAGAGACACTAAAAGAGGAGGTTGGGAAGTTAGTCGACAAGCGACTACGCAAAGCGGTGGTATCTGAGAAAGTGGTCAAGGGGAAAGCCTCCATGGTGCCTACAAGCTCGGAAGACGAGGAGGAGGACCCGTATGAAGATAGGTTGGAGAAAAGGAAGAGGGCGCATGCACCTATGAGCCAGGCAAGTCCACCAGGCGAATCCCCCATGAAGGTGGGAAGGGCATCAGCCTCGGTACCTCCGTTGACCCCTCGGATGGAGGAGTCTCCTCGTCTACATGCACTACGAAGAAGAAACGACGGGCACATGGATTGCCCGCACCAGGAATCAAGATTGTGGGAAGGCGCCCCGAAAACGGGCGATTATACAACTACTACTGCTTTCAGGAAGGTCGTCCGGAAGTTTCTAGGCAAGAAACTGAAGCCCACCATCCAGGAGATGTGTCAAGAGGCGGGGATTGCCTATAAAGGAAGACCGGATGCAGTCGATGAACTAGTAGAGCTACACGTTATGTACTTCAGAACTGAAGTGCCGCACGCCGAGCCACCCAGAGTACCTACACTCAGACCCCGAGGCGGTGGGATTGTGATCAGAGAGGTTCCAAGGGAGGAGCCTCGAGAAGAATCGTGTGAACCGCCTGTCCCCGAGGCCGACCCAGGGAGTAGTGGCCAACGAAACAACCACCCAGTGGAGTGAGCTTGGTAAGTATTTGGAACTACGGAGAACTTTGGTAGCCGATCCCGCCATAGGGACCCGACCGATTCGTAGAATTCTTGAGAATGTGCTGAAGTATTTATTGGTTTTGCTGGTTTTTCAGGAGAATCTGCAGTGGGGTGCTAAGTTTTTAGGTAATTGGTTAGATTTAATAGATAATAACTTGGCTGATTGGGAAGATCCGAAGGGTTGTGTCTATGTCCTGATTGATCCTGAAGTCCGAGCCACTTATGTTGGTCAAACAAGCCGTAGCTTATTAACACGATGGGATGAACACGCTTATAGAGCACGACATCAGGATAGCACTCGAAACTCGAAGCTGTACAGCTGGCTCCGTAATCATGGACATGCTAACTATATTGAGCTCCCTATCGCCCTTACCCCTGGTCCGGATCTTGAGAGAGTCGAGAGAGTGTTTATCCAACGATGGTCACCTACTCTGAACGCAAAAGGAAGAAGAAAACATCCAAAGCAAGGGAGGGTCAAGAAACGGAAGGGGAGGAAGGAGAGAAAAAGAAGTCGATCTTGCGCAACTAAGCTGGTACGACCTGTGATTTTTGAGTATGAGGATTACCGATCGGTCAGATTTGTTGACGTATGTAGGAAAGCATGGGTTGGAGGGAAGAGGTTTAAATCTGAGGGAGGGATGATTTGGGTGCAGAAATGAAGTTCGATCGTAAAGGAGATAGGTTCGACTACAATTAGAGTAGATGGGGAAGTCAAACAGATAAGAGAGATGAAGGAAAAATTGGAAGGGGGGTGGGATGTCTGAAATGGTTTACCTACGAGAGAAGGCACTGTCCAAGCGCAGTAAGGAGTTGAAACGTGAACTGCATCAGATCATCCGGAATCCGTGGTCAAAGAAAAAATTGTACAGATATGACTTGGAAAAGTTGATGCACTTGGTTGGGGCAGTTAAACTCTTCTCACAGAAAGGTACAAGGAGATCACTTAAAGATATCCTGGCGGGGGTGGTCTGGCAGAACTATCAATTTAATATTAGAAGAAAATTTTGTGTTAGTACGACCTATGATACGGGCTTATCCTTACGAAAGGTTAGGGAAGTAGTGGTGAGGAAAATTCGGGCTGACTTATCGGACGCTCTGGCTGATTTCACGTGTTGGAGACTACTGATGGTCTGGAAACACAATAAGACCGTTGGTGATATTCTCCATAACCACCGGGCTGCATCTCAGCAGATGGTGGATGTCGGCAATTGTGCAGACAAAGCCCTTCCTCGTAGGGAGGGTCACGTGCACTGTCGGCTCAGTGACGTGGAGAACGTTGAACAGTTCGCAAAGAATGCCAGGAATGTTGTGTGTGCTGGCAGTTCGACTAAAAAAGATAAAGCGATGAGGGAGGTTAACGATAGCTTGAGAGGGATGAGTCTGAAATTAATCGTTAGCTTAGGCGAAATCAGTGACTGTGTGAATGCAAGGATTGAGAGTAGCAAGGATCATCGTGCGATTCTAATGGAAACAAAGGTATTGTGTGAAGGAATGGTATGCAGTGCAGTTGACAGAAACGCAGCTGATACAGTGGTAATGTGTCGGGCAGTATATGCAAAGGGGATGAAAGATACGTTCTGAGGTAACGATAGCTTTACGGTGGTATGGGAGGAGGAGCATGTGTTCCTAACCAGATGTGAACGGGAGTACAAGTCGCAAGGGTTGGAGGTGCTTGGGAGGTGGGACTAGCAAGGAAGGTGTGGAAATGCCTATATCCTACCGAAGCACAAGGATATTGGGAGATTCATACCAATTTGTCCATCGTTTACTGAGCCCTCAAAGACGGCGGGAGGAAGAGTAGCGCGAGCTTTGAACCACCTTCTGTTCCTGCTTCCAAAATCGATGCACTTCAACCTAAAATCTACCAATTTGCTGAAAGACCGGGTGGACGAGATCAACAAATGGGTTGATAGGAAAGGGGAAGGGGAGTTGGTGGGAGCCGCTTTCGACATCAAAGAGATGTTCTGCCAGCTCCCTCACGGTTCAATACTGACTGCGGTAAGCTGGCTCCTGGACTGGTACAGACAGAAAGACCTCGCCATGGTGAGTGTAAAGAGGAGAGGTAAAGGAGCTGCGTTTGCAAAAAAGATTGATAATGATCTGTGGATGAAGATGAGCTTCGAAATGATCTGGAAGATGATAAAGTTTGAATTGACACATACATATGTATCAGCGTCAGGTAGGCTGATCCAGCAGCGGGTTGGAATCCCTATGGGAAAAAGCAGTAGCCCGCCCCTTGCATGTATCCTGTGTGCTATGAATGAATGTAACTTTCTGATGAGTCTTGGTGGTGACAGAAGCCTGGTCAAAGGGCTAAGACTGATTGATGATATCTAAGTCCTCGTTTGGTGTCCGACAAAAAATGGAAACAGACGCTTGTCTAGGGTTATGGAAGGTTTTGGAAGGACTTACGATAAGCGGGCGACGTTGAAGAGAACTGACTCGGGCAAGGGCACTTGGGATTTCATAGGTACTAGAATGTCAATTCAAAGGAATAAGCTCACCTACCAGAGCTTTCCAAAGAACTTCGAGCAGGTGTGGGAAGAAGACGATGAGCTGTCATATCGTATATTTCAAGATTTCAATTCTTTCTCTACGATGAGGCAGAAGAAGGCCGTGATCACATGTACCCTGCATCGAATCCAGAAAATGTTTTCGAATGATGAGCTGGCAGGACTGAGTTTGCTGACAGTTAAAAGACAGCTTCGAATTCAAAGTTACCCGGCGTGGATGTTTAATGACTGTCTGAGTAAATTCGTCAGAAGGCACGCCCCAACTTGGGGGAAGTGGAACAGTAGGCTAGGGAGCTGGTAGTTTCTGAATAGTATGATGGGATTATGATACCATAGGTGAATGAGGATTGAGTGTGTATAGTGTGCGATAGCTGGTAAACTCTGAGTAGCGTAATGGGACTATGTGGGGTTTTTCTGAGTACATGCGGCGTGGGGGTGTGTGAGTCGAGTATGGCGTTTGAAGTAGGATGCTGGGTTGTTATTTACTTGAAGAAGTAGGGACACGGTAGCAATGAAGCCTTACGTTGTACGCCTGAAAAAATACGAAGCGAACTCTGAAGTATAGCGAAGCAGCCTGTGTAGCGTTGAACATGTGACCTGAAAGTTGGGCATAGGGCGAGAACTCGGAATCTTAGGCGATATCCCTGGGGGAATAATAAGTAATGATCCGGAATGTTCGGATTAACCCCCTGAGGCCAGGGCGGGAAAAGTGCTGTAAGGAGATTTTCGGACCAGGTACGACAACCCCTCGGAGGGTCCAGATATTTACGAACGAGGTCTGCGATTAGGAACTGGGCCCGATTTACCAGGTACGCAGGATAGCAAGAGGAACCGGGTACTATCTCAGAGGGAACTTGGCGAACAAGCAGTGCTTAGAAGTATTAATAGCTTAGTCAGTAGGGAATAGGCATCTCGAATCAACCCCCTGATGAGATCGTTAACTGGCAGCGGTCGAAACTAGTCGGGGTTTGCAAGATACTTCGCTCTTCCGATCTACACTCTGTTTTGGCGGCGAGGAAGGAAGCAACGCCATAGCTATGCTATGACGACGAAGAGCTGCACTGTTATTTGGTTATTAAGAACCGATTTGAGATTGTTTCTCGCATACTTTGCTGTGATTACCATGGTTATGAGTGATGTGTGGACTCCATTTGTCTGCAGTTTCTCTCACTCACTCTCACTCTCAACTGATAATTTAACTTAAATGACACTTAAATTTTTTTTTTTTTTTTTTACTATATCTTAATTCATGTATATCATTTTTATGCAAAGAGTATGCTAATATTTTATGTATTGTTCCAATTTAGACAAATGTATATCTAAGGACACTTAAAAAATTTTAAAAGTGGCGAGCCCCTTCTTTTTGGTGAGAAGTATTCCGAGTTTCAACCATTCAAATTAAAGACACCTCTCTCTGTGGAAATTCAATGGATAATTCATATCGTGTATCTTCCATGTCCCAAAATATGGAACACAGACTACTTCGATTTTTGCCCTTTTCTATCACATGTATTTGTTACTCCTTCCGTATCACTTAAAAAACGTTGAGTTCCAAGACACCCTAGAGAAAAAAATGAGATTAATACTTCCTTGAAGAGACTGCACTATGAGTTTTTTTTTTTTTTTACAATCTCTTAACTTATGTGCATTATTTTTGTACAACGGTAATGTTAATCTTCTTTGTATCGTTGAAGTTCGCGTATTAACACGTTATAAAAGACACTCTAAGATTTTATAAAGTGGCAAGCTCGTGTTTTTTGTCAGCAGTAGAGTAAGTTTCAACCTTTAAAACTCAAGGCATCCCTCAGAGCCTATGACAATTTTGTTCCTGTTTGCTTTCGATTTTCAAGGATTAACCTTTGAAAGAGGAAATGTGCGCATATATGCGGACGTAATTAGAATAGTGTCTACTTTAGTTTTAATTACTGTGAACAGTACCTTAACCAACATTTTTTCATGATCTGAGGACTTGTCCTTTAATAGGTGTTTTGAATTACTATAGGTAATTTTTTTAACCACCAGTACTTCCTTGAGTCGTGCCTGTTAACACGTCACGATTTTAGGAAATGTACCGGCCACTAAAGGAACGCTAAAATTTATCCGACTAGAAACTTTTCTACTCTTTTTTTTTTTTGAGGACGATAACTAGGCTAAGTACTGGAGCGTTAAGGTTACTATATAAAATTTATATTGCAGTTGACTATAGGTGATTTTTCGTTGAACTGACGTTTGTCGATCCGCATATTTGTACCACCAATATGTGTTATCGTCATTTTTATACAACAAAATCATATTTATGTTGTATCCGAGCAGAATTAATATATCTTTTCATTTGTAAAAGGTACATTCCAGCAAATCATATCAAGTGCAGATCAAGTTTTGCTTGGATGAACTTTTGCGAAGCAGCGGGTCAGTCATAGTGCGTAAGCAAAACCGAATGCTATAAAAATCATAAGGAAACATACCGATTGTTAAAATCTGCAAAAAAAAAAAAAAAACAGTGAGTGAAAAATATACACCTAGACAACCATTATATTGAAAATTTGTAGAGGATATGGATATGGATAGGAAATGCACACAAGTACACACGTCACACAGTAGAAAAATCCACAGAGTGGCAAGATCATATAGTTAGTTACAACCAAAGGTCTCCTCCGACAGTCCGACAAACCCAAGAACCACCAATCATTCCACCAACCCACGTCCGCAGGCTCCCACCGTTAATGATAGTTGTCGTGCGGCCGAACCAAGAGGTCGATTGCATACTACAATGATCTAGTTATAGGTCTACGTACACTCCAAGTCCTAGTTCGCTAGTTGATCAGAGTAATCGGCACGCTACAAAAGTGTCCGCCACCGAGGCCCGTGCTGTACCAAACAGCCTACCAAACCATATTCTAGATAGCAGGCATCAAAAGGGAAGGCACTGGTTTGAGGACAAAGTTTCTCAGACAGTGTCCCGACGATACATACAGTCGAAAAAGGCAAGTACCGGTTAACAATCCAGAGGTATCAAAGGTCCATCGTTCGAAACACCAAACGGAAACTACTCCAGACCCTATCGAATCGTCGAAATCAGAAACAAATGAAATTGAACAATCAGAAAATCAGGAAAAGTCGAAAAAATCAAAAAATCAAAAACAAACTCAAGCCATACGACGAAACAAACCATGTCCAAATGCTTGGAGGTCAAGCCTAGAAATGAGAAATCAAAGGCCATACTGGGTCTACGAGGCCGAGTCCGAACCAATTAGTACAGAAGGTTGATAATCAGTCTCCATACGACATCCCTTCTTACCGCAAAGCTCTTCAGAACTCTCTGGAATAACGGGTCCGGAAAGTCTTTAAGGGACAATTCCCTGCGAAGTGCCCTCACTCGATTCGGGATCTCGGATCGGATCGAAGTATTCATATCGATCCGGTGCAGATAGGTTCCGATAATGGCGTTTTTTTGCCTCTTGCAACCCCAAAATAGGTAAGACTGTCTATTCTGAATACTGAGTTTGTCCGAAGTCCACATGCAGTCGTCATTTCTGGTCATCTGGACACAACCGATGTATGGGTACATCTGCTGCACACGGATTTGACAGCCCAAGAAGTCAAACATCCCAGCTCCGTCATCAGTCCGCTTGAAAACCAGGTTCGAGGGATAGCATTTCTCAAAGGCTGACAGAATCGCAGAAGCATTCGTACCATTGGGTAAAGACAAGACAAGCATAACATCATCGATCAAACGGGAGGCGAAGATGCAGCGTACCGTTCTTCCTAGGCTACAGGTGAAGTGGTACCCAGCAAATACACACAAGATACAGGCAAGGGGCGGGCTAGTGCTCTTCCCCATGGGTATTTCCATAACGTGTTGCAGCAAAACACCCGTGGCTCGAAAGTACGTGCGACCAAGCTCAAGGTTCACAAAGGTGCGAACATCCTCAAGCTCCAATAATCGCCTGTGGTCACCCCCGGTCGATCGCCCAAAAGTGGCACCCTTGCCACGCGTGTTTACTCGCACGAACGATCTCCCCTTCTCCTTTTGGTAATCAATAAGCCAATCAACAGCGCGGCGGATGCCAGCATGAGGCAACTTGCTGAACATTTCCTTGATGTAAGAGGAAAAGGAGTGGATAGTTCTCTCGTTGCCCAAACGAAGGAGTCTCCGATTAGCGGATTCAAAACGCTTGCTCAACAACGATACCGCCAACAAGTTAAAGTGCCACTACTTAGGGATAGTTCCCAGCAAGTGATTCAGAGCTTTTGCCACCACCTGGCTAGTATGGACCATAGGCTCACAAAACGAGGGGCAAATAGGCCGGAAACGATAAAGATCCTTGTGCGTAGGCAAAACATACGCCGCTCCATATTTCCCTTTCGCATCCCAACGCACGAAACTTTTCAGCCCTGCAGCATTAGCGTCCTCGCGGAGCTCACGCAACACCACACTTTGGGGATGGGGCACAATTCGATAACCCGAATTAAATGCAAAATTGTTAAGCATGGCTTCGTAGTAGATCGCGGGGCATATTACCACCGTTTCCCCTGGGTTACGGTCAACGGCAGTGAGCATAAAATCACTACACATCTTATTCACCTCATGAACCTCTTCCAAAGACAAACAACGACTATCACAAGACGGCACCGAGAAGCAATTCGATAACGCCTCCAAACTCAAACAAGGTGTCGTGCCATTCTAGTTAATCCACTTCGTAAACCCAATAGACAACTCATCCTGAAGGGATGCAAGCCGATCAGGCAACTGTGCGCGCGACAAATTTTTCGCATTACAAATCAAAGGATTGATACCATCCAGATCACTAAGCCGGAACAAAACATGTTCGTCAGATCGAGGAAAGAAAACATCGGTGCAGGTGCAGGTGAGCACAGGGCGTGTCGACTGACTACACATATTATGCAGAATATCCGCGACGGAGGGATTCTTGGTCCCAACAATCCGAATTTTCCTACGAGTTCTGCGTAAGAAGCACAAAGGTAAGTCCAAATGCATCAAGGCATCATTAACCACCTTCCGGACTTCAGCAATCTTCATGCGATCATCAAATCGAATACGGAAAACAAGGTCAGCATTTAAACTCAAACCAAATCGCTCCCGAAAACTCCGAGAAATGATCCTTCGTAAGTATTTCCGGATGGATTTACGAGAAAAATCCTTAATGGCATGGTATAGACGAAGCACAAAACGCATTCCCCAGCAACGAAAAACAGAAACTTGTCTCGGGTTACGTAAAATGCTAATGAGAATCTTTTTGAAAAAACCACACTTAGGAGTCCATTTATAGACATGCAAAATCAAAAAAAGTCCCCCTGAATGTAAAAGAAGCCTACATTTTTCGAGGCAGACGGTCCCCGAATTAGTTACAACTTTAGTCTCCCCAAAGGTATTGATTAACTTCTGCCAAGATGGTTCCCAGATATTACCCTCCTGTGTGTAAAATTCCACACCGCCATTTCCCGATTTTAAAACATCGTTGAGAAAAGCAAAAAAAACGACACACCAATCAGCGGACGTAGTACGTCAGAAGCGGACAGGTTTAAATGCGGGTGTGGCAGCCGAGTACCCTTCCTTGACCCTGGCACGTTCCTTCCTCCCCAACTTAGGTTTCAAAACATGACTCTGCCTCTTACATCGAGTCGTGTTAAGGAAAGGTGACCATAGCTCAATATAGGTACCTTCCAGAACAGTGAGGTCGGAACCAACCAGGACGTCTACGGGCAACAACAGATAGTTCCCGATGCCAAATGACGTCAACCATCTATGAAAGTGAGAACGAGTGCGATTTCAGGAGCAGTAGATATGCTCCCTCCAGCGAGTGTCCACGTCCCGAACAGTCTTACCGACGTACGTCAATTTACAGAACGGTGAAATACCCACATATACACAAGAGGTAAGGCCCAGAAAATCTAAACCATGTCGATCATACAACTCCAACCATCTAGGAATACATTTGCTGGCCCAACGGATCTGTCCTTGTAATGCTAACAGCAAGAAGACTTATCGAAGGACAATACTAACATACTTATTAACAACCAGAGACTCACAACGCTCATGAGCAAGTACGCGACAAAGCTTCCATAGCTGCTGTACAGTTAAAACGCGTCACACATCCGTAGCCGGTTCGGCCTCGGCATTGTCGCTAGTATCAGCGGAAGCAGCGATATGGATAACTTCGGCATTGCCAGTGACAGAACTAGCAAAAGCGGTCTCCGTACGATGATTAGCTATGTCAAAAATAGCATCAATCTTCTTATCGTACTGTAGGTCTTCCTTCCGGCAAATCGCCTGGAGTTCGGCAGCATCAAGAGCCTTGAGCTCCTTCAAGACCTCATTACGGTTGCGCAAGCGAGCCAACACTCCCTTGGTTGTCGGTGTCACTTTAGCAGCTGGAGTATGTGCCGGAGAGCATGTAGGTGTTTTACGTTTTGACAACGGTGTGGCAATCTTCTTCCTGGTCGAAGTAGGGGTAAGTCCGCCACCAGCCTTCTTGGACTTGGACTGGGTCAAGTGACCCGTGAGTTTGACTGGTTTCAATATCCCTCTCTCCAGAGTTCGCTTAGCAGGCAACTCCATTGGTGGGCTTGGTTCTTCGAACACAGGTTTCGGGCCCCTCTTCCGCTTTTCGATAATACTCATCCGCTGAGCACGTGCGCTAAGTTCGTGAGTGACGCTAGTGTCACTCTCATCGCTCCCATCTGATGCCAAATCGTTCGACCCCGATACATTCCCTCGGTTACACGTGGAGGGGGGCACTGGCGCAACCACTTGGTACATCCTGTCAACCAAACGGTTTTCCAACTCACCAACCTGAATGGCAAGTTGGATATTCAGATCCTTCTGCATCATCCCACGTGCTTCCGCTTCAAGCGCCTTCTTCTGCTTGATCTTCAGTGCTTTCCTCTCGGCACGGGCTCGTTCCTCCATCCTGACACGTTCCTCTTCAGCACGTCGCTCAACCTCCTCCCTCTCGAGCTTTCGTCTCTGCTTACTCTCCTTCTTTTCACGTTCGACTGCATAGTGTTCCTCCATCACAGCTACACTTTTCCCCAACTTAGCAATGGTACTTCTCAACCCAGGGTCCAACTGCTGAGTTGCCTCCCTCCTACTGTGGTCGTAGCCTCGCGGAGACCGAGATCGCCTGGAGTCCGAGGATGACGAAGGTCGCGCACCTTGATAACGCCGACTCCTGTTGGGCACTGATTAGCATAGTGCCCTGTCTCATTGGAGGCAAAACAAGTGGGGGGGCTGTACGGCCTCCGCTCACCGCCATTGTCTCTAGTATCACGAGCACGATCACTTCTCTCCTGCCCGTAATCCCCTCGCTCCTGCTGCTCCCGTGAAGACATACCTCCGTTCGGCAACAGACGTGGCTCATAGCACGTAGTACGTTGTGCTCTATCAGGGCACCAACGATCCAAACGGCAAGACCAAGGTACGACAGTTGCACCCGTCACGAGATGCTGTTTCAAGGGGAAAGATGTCCACAAAAGTCATAAAGAGAAAGACAAAGGTGGAACGCCAAATTACGTGCTCACTCTAGCCCGACAAGGTAACTCCAGGTAAGTTCACACGTGCAATCCAATGGATATGGATAGGAAATGCAGACAAGTACACACGTCACACAGTAGAAAAATCCACAGAGTGGCAAGATCATATAGTTAATTACAACCAAAGGTCTCCTCCGACAGTCCGACAAACCCAAGAACCATCAATCATTCCACCAACCCACGTCCGCAGGCTCCCACCATTAATGATAGTTGCCGTGCGGCCGAACCAAGAGGTCGATTGCATACTACAACGATCTACTTATAGGTTTACGTACACTCCAACTCCTAGTTCGCTAGTTGATCAGAGTAATCAGCACGCTACAAAAGTGTCCGCCACCGAGGCCCGTGCTGTACCAAACAGCCTACGAAACGATATCCTAGATACAAGGCACCAAAAGAGAAGGCACTGGTTCGAGGACAAAGTTCCTCAGACAGTGTCCCGACGATACATACATTCGAAAAAGGCAAGTACCGGTTAACAATCCAGAGGTACAAAAGGTCCATCGTTCGAAATACCAAACGAAAACTACTCCAGACCCTATCGAATCATCGAAATCGGAAACAAACGAAATTGAACAATCAGAAAATCAGAAAAAATCAAAAAAATCAAAAAATAAAAAACAAACTCGAGTCATACGACGAAACAAACTTGTAGAGGAACCTAAAAAAAATACTTATATAAATTTCAACCACATACTCTATGATAGATCCTTGAGTCATTAAAAAATGTCAATCATATTATGATTTTTTATACAACATATAATTACTTAAGAAGAACATCTAATGTACCATCTCACCTTATGTGGTTTTACTCATTAAAGTCAAATCTTCGAATGCAAGGCATACTCATATGATATATAAAATATATGGTCATATTTTCTTTATTTTGCCCGGTATGTCAATGTTTATTATTCATTGTTTGAAATTATTATGAGTGACTCAAATAGAATTAGGTAAACTCGATAACACTAGTATGGTTTATAAAACATAAGAAAATGAGAGAATGAGTGGTGATGAAAATGATTGTTCAAGTCTTCTCTTACCTAATAACCATCAAAACAAAAAAGAAGGACGATGAACTGAAATACTCACCTTGCAAGGATATATTCATTTTGTGTTGTCGTGACAATGATAAAAACAAGTAGGAATATTAAAGGAACAACAACATCAAACTTCAAACATTGAACTCACTGCCTATATAAAACAAACGTGAAATCATCAATATATATTGTACACTATTATACGATATTAGTTGTGAGGTATACATAAAATGATAAAGATGTCGATTACACTACTATATGTTATTATGAAAAGGGTATTATACACATACATGACCGACTTATTTTAACATTCAAATGAAGATTTAAACAAGTAAGCAAAAAAACTTAGCAGCCAGATAGTTATGATGAGGGATGCCACGATATAATCCTTTAACATCTACTAAATTGTTAGGGCAATAAAACACGTTATTTGTAAAAAAAAAAAAAAAAAAAGTTGAATGTTGATAACCATTATTGAGAATCTTGTTAATTAAGTTTATTTAAAAATTAATATATTTAAAAATAAAAATAAAAATAAAAATCGTTAAATATTAAACCATAGTAAAAATCTTCAGAATCGCATAATATAATGTTGAGCAGAGAGTATAAAAAAAAATGGATGCCTATTGTATAAGGAAAACAAATATATACAATACTAAAATAGCAAATGACGCCTTCATATAAGTGAATTTCATAAGTACTGAACCCCACGACTTTTCGTTTTTATATATGAGTGATTAAGAATAAGTACAAAACATACACACTTCGTGGATAAGGATTTTATGATAACAAAATTCGTGTAAAAAAATACAACTAAGAAAAATATAGTAAAGTTTTATAGTACATATACATAAAGGTAGCACACAATGATAATGACGGGTAAAAAGCAAACCGTACTAAGGTTTTATACTATAAACCCATAGAGGTAAAACAATTATCGTATAAATGTAAAAATATCATGCAAAAAGTGATGTTACATGTATAAAGGTGCATAGGCAAACCATACGAAAGTTATATTAACATTATACATTTTCGTAAGAATACCTCAATAAATATTAGACAAAATGTGAATAATGAAAAACCGTGGTAGACACCATGAAAACCTTCATAAAATTATATCCCACAATATCAGAATCAACCTCCAATGCAAATGCAAATGAGATCATTACAGGGGAAAAAAAAAAACAATATAATAAATACATTTTGAATACATATGGAGAAAACAAGGTGTAAATGACTATTAACTTTTTTTTCCAGGGCGTAAATGACTATTAACCAAAATAGTAAAGGGCCATACTGATAACGACAGTCTCTTGGAGATACCTTTGGGTGCGCACAAAGTTGCAACTTTGGTAAGATTATATCAAAATCGATCTTGGATAGGAGAAGAAAATGAGAGATAAACTAAATGTCCACAACCTAATGAAATTGATTAGTGTATGCACCAAAGACGAGGTTGGTAAGTTTTTAAAGGTTGGTAAGTTTTTAAGGGTTGGTAAGTTTTTAAAGGTTAGTAAGTTTTTTAAGAAGATGGGTCACAACAATTATATAATAAAAGAGTTGGGAACCAACAACTGGTGAGGTTATGCCCTCTCAGCCGTCAATATGAAAATCCATTCCCAACAAGTTTATATTGAATTTACACTACTGGCAGCTTGATGGGTAACTCATTACAATGACACAACAAGTAAGCTACAAATCCGATGCAAAAAGTTGGCTATGTATGATGTGTGAAAGAGTGTTGGTGTTAGACATTGTTGTTACCTTATCAAGGTGAGAAAAAAGGAAAATGGTGGCACAACCACTTGCAAAATGATTAGTCGTTATATTAGTCGGGTCCCTACTTACGACCATCCTAAATCACTAGGGCGAGGGGCAACCTTCAATTTCTTAATTGTGAGGTAGGCATGCTTGAAGGATTCCCCTAGGACAATGAGCCAATAATGAAGATAATTGAATTTAACATATGAATCTAAACACGTTTGTGGATAAGTGTAAAAAATCGTGATTGAACTGTTTTTTCTGCATTTTGTCATAAAAGATATCCGAATCCGAATTTTCAACCAATCTGCTTTGCAAGTGGACCTTACCTCTGTATATCCTTATGAATAATACTAGGTAGGTAGTAAAAACAGAATGGAGAGAATAATATGAGTAAGTTGATAAGAAAATAATAATTAAAAAAAACAATTGATTTATGCATGTCAATCACAATCGTTAGCTATAATGATAATAATTAACTAAATTAAAAATATATATATATATATTTTTTTTAATTGATTTTTTTTTGCCTAAAATTACTATTTATTAAAGGGTCTCAATGCCAAAGGCAAAAAGTATATCAATAATCCAAACCCGCAAGTATGGTCGGACGTTCGTGACCTACGGTTTTTGGTGAGGTAGACGTAATGACACTACCTCAACAATTTTATTTTTTCCAAAAAAATTCGTAATTCACAAGGGATTCAATTGGTAAGTACCGACTAAAAATGCTCGAACTCCCAGCATGTGATGTTTTTTTTTGGTAAGAGATTTTTGACAACCATGAATTAGGTGAAATATGTGTCAATCCAAAATATCGAGTTGAATTTTTTTTATTTTATTTTTTTTCATTTGTCTTCAATGGATCGATTATGAGACGTTTCTCTGCAACGAGAGTTTTGGAAGGTAGTGAGCGAGGCTTGGTATTTGTGAGTTTTTCGGGCCTCGTCATGTTTGTTATAACACACCAATATTTTCTTAGAAGTCTAGTGAGTGTTTGTGTTGTGTTGAGTGACTCTTGACATTGTCATGCGAAATTATACATTCAATTAGTCGAGAAAAAAGTATGGTTAGTAATCATTCATTCAATTAGTTGAGAAAAAGAAACATGCTGCACGCTGAGCAAAATCATCCATAAACATAAGAATAATTAAAAAAAAAAAAAAAAAAACTTAGACAAAAAGAAGAAGAAAGATAATAGGAAAGATAAAAGAAGATAAAAAAGTATGTCCATCTCGATAAATCCCAAATACAACTTGAAATCAATAACAATAAGGCAACCTGTACCCAACTAGTTTCAACTAGTCCGCCTGACCATTCCTCCCTAGGGGTCTTAGTTGACGTAGGTAGGGTGATGATTGAACAATGAACTGTCGGGACAGAAACCCTAGCTAGGGTATCTGCCCTGTATTTTCGATGTCGGCGGAAGTCCAAATTTTGATGTAAGTTTGGGGTAACTGGTCTGATGAAATATACATGTTATTGGAAAGTTTCAACTCATCCTCGGTTTGGCAAGACCGCAGAGATGTGCGGCCGAGGAAAGACAAAAGCTAGACCTATTCTACGAAAAATAGCCGCGCGATTCAGAACCTAAGTAGGATGAAAAGGGGTCGCCGCGATGAAAGCTAGAGTCGAGGCAAGGAAGGAATAAAACGTTTTAATTTTGTTGGGTCCGCGGGGCTTTCACGTCGAGGTCCGGAGGGGATGGCGTTATGGCCTGCTGAGTGGGGCAGTTGTTAAGGTCGTGGGCCGCTAACCCGACCAACCAGCCATGA